CCGTGTAGGTGACTACATTCCCGACCAGTGGGAACCTAACCTAACCTCTGACCGCATTTATGACCTCGTCGTCGGTCGTTTCCTTGTCTGCGTCATGAATTTCCACTTTGGTGATGTCCGTGAGTTTCGTGAAGGTGACTACATTCCCGACCGAGTGGGAAGAAAAATGGAGGACTCTATCCTTCCTACATTGGCTATGTTGGCCTACAAAGAAAATAACTTAACTAGATATTTTTATCTTCCTGAGATTGATGATCATACGCCACCTTGCTGCGTTCTCCTCTCCTCCTCTTCTCTTAGCCTCATAATTCTGGTGAAGAGCATGCTGATTCTCTCCCAGGAAGACTTTGACTGGAGCATAATTCCGATCACGTTGTCCGCAGTTAGTTGGTCCACTTCTAGGTACACGCACGCCTCGGTCCGCCAGCGATTCCAAGCATCGCACTCAAACACTGCGTGTTCTGGGCTATCCGGGACTGTCCCGCATTGTGCGCATGCATCAGTATCCAGGTGGCAGTACTCTTCAGATAACTTCCAAAACAACCATGACCCGTCGTACTTGGCTAACGTGGAACGTTACCTCGCTATGTTTGCGCATGTGCCAAGCTTTGACATCCTCAATAAGGCAGTGGGTCCACCTACCTTTTGAGGACGGTCCCATTTCTGCTGCCACTTGAACAGGAGGCGTTCTCTGGCCTCTCCTTTGTCCACGACTTCGTAGATTTTTCTCCGTTCTTCAGCCAACAAGTCGAGCGGCGGCATGCTTGAGACAACTGTCGCTGTATCGTACGAAGTAGTCCAATACAGCAGGCGACCCTCAGCATAATTCGTCTATACTCTATATGCAGTCTCCATTTTATTCATCGCACCGATGGTCATCGTTGGCGACCATATGGGAGCTGCATAAAGTAATCTAGACGTGACTACCGTTGCCAGTACACGTCTGGTTCTCTGCTTGGCTCCTCTCAGGTTTGGCAGGATCCTTGAGAGGTGTTTTCCCGCCTCTAATGTCCTTTTTGCAGCTAGCTTGGCGTGCTGCTCGAAGTGCAGCCTGGGGTCGAAGTGCACTCCGAGGTACTTCACGCAGCGACTTGACGGGAAACTGTGTGGTGGCAGTTCTACTGTCATGGTGTTCCGCACGTTCCTATTGGTGAAGACTATGGACTCGATTTTCTGCAGGGCTAGCTCTAGACCGTTCTCGGTCATTCAGCCCATGACGTCTTTGAGCGCTTCCCCCAGTCACTCCTCCAGTAAGAATGGCACCTGTGCCGTACATACTACATCGACGTCGTCAGCGAACGCTATTATCTCCGTGTCCTCTGGTAGACTTAGCTTCATCAGGTCATCGTACATCAGGTTCCATAGATCAGGACCTAGCACTGAGCCTTTCGGCACCCCACAGCTTACTTCGAAGGCGCTTGCCGTCCCGTCCAGTACTATCTGCCGGTTGGTTAGGTACTGCCCCAGTATGTACCTTAGGTACTTCGGCGTCGCCGTTCTTTCGAGGGCCTGGATAATGGAATCCCAGGAGGCGCTATTAAATGCGTTTTTAATATCTAGTGCAGTGGTTTCAAACATACGGCCCGCGGGACACTTGTGGCCCGCGAACCCCTTCTATGTGGCCTGCAATAAAAATTATCAAATATTCAAGCTATTTTTAAATTTTAATTATAATTTTTTTTTAAGTTAATAATCATTATATTTTTTTAATGATAATTTTGTAGTAATAAAAAGTAAATAAATGGATTTTGTATGTATTTTTGCCTTCATTTTGTCTTTAATTTCTAGTGTATAAGTATAAAGGTGACACTTAAAATTTGGACCGCGAATTTTTTTTGAAAAAATATATGGCCCGTAGGTAATTTGAGTTTGAGATCACTGATCTAGTGTAATCATACCGACGAACTTGTTGTAAGCACTGCTACGACCTTTGGCACCCTGTATGATTTCTTGCAGTCTTGCCATAGCATTCACCGTCGATCTTCCAGACTTAAACCCATACTGATTCCCTGGCTGATTTCCTGTTCGGGTTAGATGCTCCCGAAGCCTTCGGACAATAAGCTTCTCAAACAGCTTACTAGTGGTATCTAACATGCACAGCGACCGATATGCTGACGGATCATCAAGCGGTCTTCTCGGATTGTGAAGCAACACTAGCCGCGCTGTTTTCCACTTGGCCGGAAAGTAGGTGTGTCTAATACAGCTGTTATCCTTTAATCTCCAACCATCTGAAGCCCGGTGATGGCGGGCCGATTTTGTCGATCGAAATGTCGCTCAGGACGGCAATCGCTGCCCTGCTATTCGCGTCGGGGTACCAACCGCAGTTCTCACCACGGTTGCGATGTTGTTCGCTGATGATAAGTACATTCGTTCCAATTTCATTTGCGGTGGCCATCGCAAGCTCCTTTGCTGTCTTGCACACTCCTATGTTTATTTGGAGGACGTGGATCATTGAGACAAGTTTTTGCTCAGACTAACAACGGCTGTTGCCTCCATTACTCCGGCCAAGTTGGTCTCGTTGCTGCCCAGCAATGCCTCGAACGCCTTTGCCACATGACTTGGGGCATCACAGCCCGACGCTCTTTGACCAGTAGAGCCGCAACGTCTGCAGCATGAGCTTCTGTATGGGCCTTTACACTCTTTGGACATGTGTCCAAAGGAGAGCACTTGAAACACCTTATCCTCGATCCGCCCAGCCTGACCCTACAGTTTACGAGCCCGACACGTATACGGCCGTGCGCTAGCATCTTCTTGCACACCGCTGAGGGCACCAACACCATAGCCGACTGGGTGCCACCAAACCGCTTCCTGACGCTAACGACCTTTATCGCATCCTGGTTTATCCCAGTCTCCACCGCCACAGCACCTGCTACCTCCTCTCTTTCGGACCATTGTTCCAGGTCCATGATTTCCACCATAGTCTTTTGCTGTAGGGATCTTATTTCTACGTTCTGTCTGGCTATCCTCGAGACTTCCGCCCGGACAGCTTCGATCTGCTGTTGGTCTCACTTCAGTTCGATCAGCAAGCTACCTGCCTTGGTTTGCCTGATCCCAACAATGTGGTCGCCAGTAACCTCGCGGTTCACGCCGCCACGAATTTTTTTGACTAGCTCAGGAAACTCCGACTTGCCGGTCTCTACCAGAATGGCCGGGGGGCGTTGTCTGCCCGTTGCTCTGGGAGGCCGCGTCATCTCCAAGGGCACGTTAGTTGGGGGTGGAGATGCGACTGGGCCCTTGATTTTGTTAGTTCTCCTCTTCTTCTTCGTGACCTCCGCCCAGATACCGCCGTCACCAACGTTACTGCCACTGTGACCTTTGGCCGAACGGATGTCGTTAACTTCCTGGCTCAGTGCTTGTCTCAGTCACTTCTAGGGCGATATCCATTAACAAGGATATAGCAGTGCCATCGTCAGTGTCAGCAACCACATTCGCCGTACTCTTTGCCGTGCTCTTTGCCACCATATATGGTAAGGGGACACCCGCTAAATCCTTCAATTTGTCTGCCACTTGCTGACGCTGCTTACGGATACCTGTTGCGTGCCTGAACGCCATCATTGCTTCGGCGAGTGCCGATTGAACGGGTTTCGCCACGTTCTTCACCTCCCTCGTGGCCTCTAACATGGTGATCATCCTTCTTCCAACTCTTTCGAACCATTCCTTTTCCATCTTCTCCGTCCGTTCTAAAGCTTCGCGAAGTTGTTCTTCTGACATCTCCGCCAGCTTCGCAACATCTATCAGCGCGGATTGGGCGCTGCTATTACTGGCAATGAGCTTATCAGCTAGGGTGGACCTACCGGGTTCCGCGATGGTGTTGTGCCCCGGCTCGAAGATTTCGTGACCTCAGTGGACAAGACTGTCTCAGCTCTATTAGTGGGTTGGGTGGCGGGGGCCTGGCTGGACACCCCCGCTCCCTCACGGTCACTTAATGACGACCTTAGTGGGCCCGCTACGTTGGACCCGGCTGTTACACCGAATTCACGCACTACTGCCGGCATCTGTGGGTCCGAATCCACTGGTGCGGTAACAATATTCCTAGTTGGACTATTCATATTGTGTTTACAGTTTTCTCTGCCATTTTAGCCCTACTGGCAGGGGGATTTATATTCAGTGTTGCCTTCACGTAGGACGGCTGCCTGCCAGGCTAAGAGCCCGTCCTACCTTTTGGAACCTCTTAGTTGTCTCTTTCGTACGCGACCTTCCGGTATGGGTGACCCTGCAGGCGTAGCTCGCGGAGTCGACAAGAGATGAAAGCCCCCCCCCCCACCACATCAAGGTGGGTCCTAATGTATATCCTTTTGAAATAGATAACTAATAATAATAAAAAATATGAATCTAATAAAAATTATTTTGTATGATAATCTTGAAAGCAAGTTTTGTCTGTCTTGATACTTAAAGGAACTTTACAAGTAGAACAAATCCATTTTGTTCTTTGTGGTTTTTTTTTTAGTTGAACACATAGCACACCTTCTACTACTGTCTTGAATTGGTTGATGTTTAGATTCAGTAAGTCTCAAATGTTTTGAGACATGTGGCTTATGGTTGCTGATTTCAGTATTTGATTAACATCTTTTTTTCACTATGGATGGGGATTGCACATCAACTAATTTTCTAGATAATAAACCTTGGTAGACCTCTCTACGAAAATCTTTATTAGTTAATTTTTTACCATCTGTATCCAATTCTTTGTAAATAATAAATGAATTAATAACACAGCAATCAATAAAATGAAAAAACAGTCTCATATACCACTTATGGCTCTTTCTGTCACACTGGTAATCTTTTTTTAAATGGTCAAAATTGTCAATAAAGTTCATATTTGAATTATAATCCTTCAATGCTAAAGAACATGGAACTTTAGAAGTACTACCATCTTTTTCTTTCCTGTTAACAAATACTTTGTCATCTGGTGAGTGAAGAGAAGATAATATATGAACTGCTTTTCTATCTTTCCATTTATAAAAAGCCAGTCCCATATTGCTTGTTGCCCAATCATAATCGCCTCTTTGCAACTAGTTGTCTCTTGTAAGTGTTGGAAGAAATTTTCGATTTGATCTAACAGTTCCACATGCATATATTTTTTTTGTCAATAGTTTTTCAAAAAGTATATTACTTGAGAAAAAATTGTCCATGTATACAACATGATTTTTATTTTCCAACTCCTTACATAAATCAAGTACTACCCTACCACCAAGACCAGCTTCAATTGTCCCTTCTTTTTTACCTGTATACACTTCAAATTTTAAATTGTACCCAGAACTATCAGATAATATCCACACTTTGTAACCCCTTTTTACTGGCTTATCTATCATATATTGCTTCAGTGAGCTCCGACCCTTGAATTTTACCATAGCTTCATCAACAGCAACACCCCTGTGAGGTCTATATAAATTTAAAAAGTTTTGACCAATATAATCCAATAATGGACGAATTTTATATAGTTTGTCATAGTTGTCTTCCCCTCGTTTTGGTTGAAGTTGATTATTATTGAAATGGATATGAGATAGAAGCCAACTAAATCTTTTTACATTCATCATACTTGATATATTCTTATCGTGCAAATCTGGTGCACTGGACCAGTAGTCCCGATAACTTGGAAGACGTTTAACACTCATGCACATATTTAATCCAATAAAAACTCTAATTTCACCATCATAAGTAGGTGTAAATGGTTTTCCTATCTGTGTGGCATAAAGATTAGTTTGGAAAACTATGTGATCAATCAAGTTTTTATCAAACATTTGGCAAAATATATTATATGGTGATATATCTTCAAGCTCTTCAAAAATTTTAGCTGGTCCACAAGACAAATCATTAGAAAATAATTGAACTGAAGGCATTAATTCTAATTTTCCCCATAAAGGAGGTGTATTTGGAGGTTCAAATGATGGTATTGCTTGTTGAATTGGCTTACTAATTGTTCTAGAAGATCTAGAGGTTCTAGGGTTAGCCTAATTCAATATAAAATATGTTTGTAAATGATACATATACTATATTACCATAATATAATATGTAACCATTCACATTTATAGTATACAGCATATACTTACTATGTACTTATATAGTTAAAAATATATTTTATTAAGTTATTAAGAATATAATATAATTTTTAATGACGAAAACAAACTAACAACTACAGCGTGGAAATATTGAGAACTTTAAACACATATGATTTGAGTCATAAATTCGATAAGTGAACAAAGATAATATTATATCCGATAAAATGTACAATAGATATACCTATGACTAGTTTATATTTTATCGATATTAACAAAAAAAAAACCCCATGAAGCATATACGGCCCGCAGTACAAATATACATTTTGAAAGTGGCCCACTAGTTGAAAAAGGTTGGGCATGCCTGGTCTATCCACACACAAGATAGTTTTGATATAAAATGCAAATTATACATTATACAAAAAAAATATCCCAGAATATATTTATAAATGGAAAGTCGGGTAGGCAATATGAACAACGGGCTCTGGGCCTATAGCCCCACATCAGATTAACAATACAGGACTCACCTCCTCGATGCACAATACATTGTAATATCAGTCTGATGTAGGTTATTTGTTGTGTCACTTTATTTGTGTAATCAAAATAACTTACCTATTCTATTTTATTTTTTAAGTACATACAGATTTATTTTTAATGAAATGAAAACCTTAAATGATAGGGGCATTGTAAAAATGTATAACTAAAAAAAAAAAATGTGTGAATAGACCTTTAACTACTTTAGTTTTGGCTCTAAATTCTGAATCCAAGTACATAAATTATACATTTGTATCTGTATTTATGAATTATTTTTCTAAATACATAGAAGTTGTTGATTTACTTTGTTTTAAAATGAATAAATATTTTCTGTTTGATATAATCATTTATTATAGTAATTTAACAGTCCATGTGATATAGAAATATAAAATATTATATTAAATAAATACACATGTATTATGTACGAGTATAATTAACAAATAATAAATTTAAATAAATTGACAAATTATACAATATAATATCTTCTTTATAAAACATAAAGCATTGTGTTTTCAAATTTATATAATTTTTATTATCAATATTACATACTTATATACCTACATATCACTGTAAAACATATTTGATTGAATGATGAATATGACATGTTTCACATAGGTAAAAAAGATAAAAGTACCTATCTATTTCCTAAATGTACAGTATTGTTGGTTTTTCACATTTTATCTGTTCTCAGTTGAATTAATCCTCTGGATTCCTCAATATTAAATAAATATTTTATTTTATTGTAAATCACAAAAATTGTTTCAACGTTAAATCAATTACAATGTTCTACTCTATTACTGAAAAAATGGATATGTGGTCATGCTTTATAGAAAGTGGAAAAAATAAAAGGAAAGCCGCTCTATTGTACAGCCAACGATTTGGACTTGAGAGGCAAGTTCCTAATTCAAGCATTTTTTTAAGATTGGAAAAAAACTTAAAATCTATAGGAAGTTTCAATAAGAGTAAAAATAGGAAATGTACCAAAACTACTAAAGAATATTCTCAAATTGTGTTACAAAAATTAGAAGAAAATCCTAATACATTTTTAAGAATATTATTGAGTAATTAAATACATATATTGTATATATTTGAGCTTAAGGTATTCCCTGACACAGTAAATCCTCAAACAATTATTGCCTGGTTTCCATATTATGATCATACGTATGCTCCGGTTCATTTTTTGGGCCCATTTAATCTTGACTGATAATCTCCTATTTCCCTTGTGTATGATTTGATTCAGTTCAATTATGTTTTATATTATTTTATTAGATGTGGTTTGTGTTTATTTCACAAACACATTGATGTAATTCTGGCAAACCATGTCTCATTTTTTTTGTGAATCGAGCATAAAATTACCGTTATTTATTAATTATCATGTTTTATTATTATTTGTTTAGAAGAAGTAGGAATTTCATATAGTTCAGTCTAGAAAATTGCGAAAAAAATAAATATATCATCCATTTAAACGAAATACTGTTCAGCATTTAAAATTTGATGATTATGATTGCAAAGATGCTTATTTGAATTCTATCGGCATTTATTATCGTTTATCTACTAATACGTGATAATATCGTATACCAGGAAACAGTAACCAGTGTTATATTGTGTAACCATGATGGTAAATTGTAAAATTTGTAAAATGTTATTTTTATACTTTACATATAGCTGATAAGCTGCGCTGCAGGCTATTCGTTCATTTCACTGACACTCGGTGTTCTGGTGGGAGTGAAGATAGGACACTTTTTTTTTTATCTAATAGTATTGTTTATCTATCTTGTTATTATCAATTATGACCCTAATGGCTAGTGTTACATTGAAATACAATTTCATTTTGACTTCTGGTTTTTACTATTGGGTTTGTAAGATTGCCTAGTAGCAGTAAATTAAACGAATATTGAAACATTAATAAGTCGCAAACGGATTACTCAAATTAAATTCTATAAACGTTAAATTTATTTTTTTCAGTATGTCTATAGATTTTTGTTAACGAAAATAGGTATTGCTATTTGAAAATCAAAAGTTGATAGTGTTTTATCAAATAAGGGAGTAAGTTAAAATTATCAAAATTGTAACACAGTGTAAAAAAGTAAAACCTAGAAAGTTAAAAAAATCATCCTGTATATGGTAAAGAATTCATATCACTTTGTTAACGATATCAATAAAAATAATATACGCTTATAAATAATTATAAATTCACGGTCACCGCCACCGATCCACACACACACACAAACATTATATTTGTCTTAATTATTTTCATATTTTAATTATGTTCGTGAATTATATAATATCATTAATTATTATTTAAATTAATTATCGGCGCGTTATCTGCTGCCGCCGGCTCGCCGGTGCGCATAGATTAACGTGGCCGCCGAAAAAGTCTTGTCTTTTGCCATACGTCGTCGAGTGAAGACCAAACGTCCACATTTTTTTATATATTATTATTATTATATCTTTGTGAAACTCGACGTTATATTTTTCTTTTTTATTTATTATTGTGAGCGCGAATCGACACCTTTTGGGATTATTATATTTATATTGTGCGCGAATCGCCATTAATTTTTTATATTATTATTATTTCGTGTGCGCGAATCGCCACTAATTTGTTATATTATTTGCGTGCGCGAATCGCCAATTCTATTATTTATTATTAATTATATTATATTTTTATATTGTGTTCGTTCCTGTTGTGTGTGTGAGCGTGATTATTATTTTTTATATAGCCATATTTAGGACCAGCTGGCCAGTCTGCGCTCCACAAATTGTGAGTTTTAATAACTGTTATTTATTTATTTATTTATTATTATTATATTATTAAGTATTATTAACATTTATTTAATTGAGCCAAAAGGGCTTTATATTTTTTATATCAATATCCGAGCTTTTAGCTCTAATAGTTTTTTATATATTATAATCGTGTTATTGAGCCAGAAGGGCCTTAACTACCTATTACTATTTATCATATACTTATATTTATTCTGTTTAGCCATAAGGGCTACGCAGTTTATAGCGTTTATTAATTATTATATTATATTTTTGTTGTGGCTTTAATAGCTACTTATCTTATTATATTTTTACATGTTGGGCCAAAAGGGCCGTAATTACTATTAGTATTTTATTTATCATTATTATATATCCTATTACCGTAACAAGTATTACCATTTATTTATATTGAGTTACCTGAGTCCCCTAGTTTTAGTTTACACACATACATATATACACACACATACACACACCACCCACACACTAGCACTCACAGGATTTGCTCGGCGAACCTGTCCACTTCCTGTTGAGTGCTATACACATATATACACAAACACACATAGGCGCACCCAGAGTTTTACATTTGAGTGTGCCCGACCTTTATTTTTATCTATATTCTATATGTATAAATGAATGTAAAAATAAAATATTTCAAATATCCGACACTTTTTTACTAACCAATACTATAACTTATTGTATAATATTTACCTATTGGTAGCTATTAGCGATATACAATATACTATTTTTTTTTCAATTAAAGAAATCAAAAGAAATGGTTATAAATTTACAAGTTAAAATAAATAAAGTTTTGATTATCTACCTCCTGTAACTTGTAAGCTAACTATATTTTATGTAATATGTAAGTAGGTATTGATTATAATAATTTTTTGATTAATTTCATAATACATTAGTTCATAAATCATTATTTTATATTTATTAATAAACTGAAACAACACTAGTATAATTTATTATATTAATTTATAATAACAACCGTCTTTGAAATGGCACAATTCTTTTAAATTCGTCTATAACTTCAGAAGCTTCAACATTGGCCGTTAATTCTTGTTCGACATATAATAACTAATAACATAAGTGATTCCAACCGATCTTGTTTTGTAGTTGACCTTAACTTCGTTTTCACGTGAGTCAGTTTAGAAAACGCTCTTTCGCATGAGCAACTTGTCACGGGATGACAGAAAAAGTTTGAATTGCTGCATTAAAAGCCGTGTAAATTTTATATTTTTCATTTTCTTGCATCCACTGGATCCATCTACTTAATGTTGTTGCTGAATTTCCAGTTAGTACAGTTTGATCTGTTTTTAACAATCTTATTTCTGCCATTAATTCGTCTTGAGAAATTTTGAATTTTTCTTCTAAAACAGCTGCTTCTTCTTTATTTAATTTTAGATTTAAGAGATTTCCCACAGCATTTATAATTTTGATTGTTTCTTGCTGAAATCTTAAATCTAATGACGTTACCATATTATCTAACATTTGATAAAAACACAAACTTCGTAATTCTTCTTCCTTAGTTTCATAATAATGTTCTGTTTTTGCAAATTCATCGAGGCGACTTGATACCTTCCGTTTTTTAACTAATGGAATATCTATTTCTAGTTCTATGCACAAATTTTTTGCTTCATTAAAAATGTTTAGAAACTCTGTCTCATTTCTTAAATTTATAAAAGCTGCTCGAAAAGACTTTATGCTGGCCATAGCATTAATTAGATTAATATTAGGACTTTGCAGCAATTTACTTACTTTAACAATTAATTGAAGTATTGGGTGCATCATTGTTAACCCGAATATAAAATTAAAAGATTTTACTTGATGTAAGAAACCAATTCCTTTAACTTTAACATCACTTTATTTAATTGTTTCAATAATTTCAGTAAGAGCTCTAATGATGGCTGAATAATTAATTTTTATCACGGCAACAGCTTCCGCGCGACAAGCCCATCTAGTCGTGGAAAGAGACTTTAATGTTCTCAATGTTGAACCGATTTCATTAGATATTTTTTCAAAAGTTGCGTGTCGTGAACAACTCCTTTCAATAAATGTGTAAATAAATTGTACAATCCCAAAAAAATCGAAAATTAATCTATTTCCTTTGTCTAGTGTACAAGCATCGACTAAAACTAGGTTCAAACAATGTGCGTAACAATGTACATATACAATATTACTGTTTAATTCTTTACACCTTATCTGAACTCCTGATACACTTCCTGACATGGCTGCCGCGCCATCAAAGCAAACCGATAATACATTCTTCCAATCTACTTTCAATACGGAGAGAACAACTTTTAACTCATTGAAAATAGCTTGGGCATCTACAGATGTAAGTCTGCGAATAGCTACTAAATGTTCTACTGGAGAATTAAGCTTATCATCAAAATATCTCAAAACAATTGCCATTTGTTCATGGTGTCCACAATCACTAGTTTCGTCAGCCATTATTGAAACAAATTTGTTCTGGACGGAATGTGATATTTTTCGTAAAATGATGTTGCTTATGCTGATAATAATGTCGTTTTGGATTTTTCCACTAGTGTATAAAGCATTTTGGGGTCCATTTGTTAGATGATCTTTTAAAGTAGGGTCATATTTCGACACTAAATCTACTAAATCTAAAAACAGTCCTCGTACAATGCTGATTTTACTCTCGTCATGGCCTCTAAATGGTCTACCTCCTTTTGCTAAACAAATAACAATATCAATTAACCTTTCCATTATCTGACGATTTTTTATTTTAACTTGATTTTGCTTTGAAATAAACTCTTCCTTTTGCTCATCTAACAAAATATCAACCGATTTATTTTTTGTATAACTACTCCAAGAAGAAACGCTATGTTGATGGCCTTTAGATTTTTCATGGTTACAGAAACATTCGTTTGCTCTATACCAATGTTTAAATCCCTTTTTTATAAAAGCAAAATCAATATGACCTTTTGTTGTTGGATCGTTTAAACAAAATAGACGACAGTAAAAACAAAATGCAGAATCAAGAACTTTACTATACTCTAACCACGAATACTTATTGTACCATTCGATTTGGAAACTTCTATATTTTGAGCCTATTATTGTTCTAGGAAAATCAAATTTTGGTTGGTAGGGACCTTTGTCAATTCTATCTTTTTTTTCTAATCTCGAAACGGGTATCTCATTTACAGGGTCATCTGCATCACCAAAAATTTGTTTGTTAACAATGTTTGGAGTATTTTTTAGATCTTCATTTTTGTTGCACTTAAATATAAATTTATCCATTTTCTATCTTCAATAGCAAATTTTAATAAAAATTAATTTGAACTGATTTTGAGAAAAACGACATACCTACAACGCAAAATATACCTTAATAATTGATTTTTAGTTTAAATTGTATAGTAAAATAAATCAAGTATCAATGTATAGTATAGGCACCACTGTGTATGTGTATAATGTTTATAGGTATAACCAGTGGCGGCTCGTGCATATGTGCGATGGTGCGGTCGCACTCTCTACAGAAATTAACAATTTAAGTACAAATAAATTTACTATTTAATAAATTTATTATTTAAAAAATAGGTACATATTTTAGTACATATAGTAACAATTAAATATATCATTATTTATTATTAAAATTATTTTCGTAGTTTATTAGGATATCGTTACGAACTCGCCATGTTATTATACGGGTATATGAATAGCTATATTATTATCTATATAGGCCTATGCAACGCTGCAGATTGTGCGACATTATGAATCGCATATAAAAATACCGGTTTCCCGTATAAATTATAGGTATAATATTAATATACGAGTAATAATAATATCATCACGACGGCGGCGCGGCGGCTATAGAATTTTATGATATGCGGTGAATTTTGTCGCTCAAATAGGACGGCAACGACGTGCGGCGTGTTTAATTTTGTATTATGTATTATTTTATCATTTTAATTTTTTGGTGAGTTCTTAAATTTTTTCACCGCACTCCTGTGCTATACTACTACGAGCCGCCACTGGGTATAACTGAGATAATTATATAAAATAGTACTTACATTTAATATTTAAAAGTTCGAGGTTGTTGTACACAAAGTTAACGTCTTAACAATAATATTAAAATGTTACCTAAGGTAGAAATGTATATGAGTACCTAGCTTGAAACACGACGTAACGTTAAATGAAATAGTAAATACCAATAACTATCAAACTATTATTTGTTAATCATCGAGACGTTGACCGTCGTTATCAGCGCGATGTCGGTTTCCGAAAAAAAACAATATTTTTGCGCTAAAAATAGTTACCAGTTGGCCATCACCACTATTGTCTGTTAATCTAAGTTTTTGTGTTGTTGTCGACGACTATAACATTAAATAATTCAATTTATAGTTATTACTTTAGAGACTTATTCTGCGTAATTTAATTTACAAAAAACTGAAATTCAATTAATGAGTTGTTATTAATTTTTTTTTTCTTCATACATTAGGGTGTGCCTTGGCACACCCGGCACACCCTGTAGATCCGCCTATGCAAACACAGGTCGGTCGGTGTGTGACCGTATAATAGCGTATTAATATTTGGTGATCGGGGCGCTCATACTTATAATTAGATGCTCCCGGCCCGGACACACTTAATATACACAATTTATTGCATATTGTTGATGACTATAAAAAGTTTGGTTCCCTCGATAGTTGCTCATGTTTTCCATTTGAAAACTTAATTAAAACTCTAAAAAAAAATGATACGAAAACATGAGAAACCATTGGAGCAAGTCATAAAACGATATTACGAATTTCAAATGTTTGGCGAGTATGAATTAAATACAAGGTCTAGTGTCATAAAATATTTAAAAATATAATGGTGGACTATTGCCCGAAGACTGCATGAAACCTGAATTTAAAATTGCTGTAAAAGATAATATAAAATAATTTTCTGATGCTTACATAGTGTGTACGCCATATCGCCCAAATCTCTTGGTCACGGTATAATCCTTTAATTGTTATTGTTATTGTTATTATTATTATTATTACTTATTATCTTATAACTTATATTCTGATATCGATTATTATATTATTATTTGCACTTTCGGTGACTGCGCTGTCCGGTTTCTGTCACAGAACACGGTACCTATCTGTTGAAATTTGTCACAGAACACGGGACCGGAGTAATGTGACCGCCGAAAAGGCACCTATGAAAGGCCACGCGAACAACGAACGATTACCCATTCCTTTACCAGCATTGTAGTAAGACCTACCCAGGCAGACTTACGCATTGTTGGTAAAGGACTTCCCCGCCTTGACGGATCTTGTTGGACTGTTGTGGTGCGCGTCCAGTGGTTCAACAGTTGGAGTATTCCGGCATTGGATCGGCCGCCCACAGTCAATGAGGCAATAGTCAGAGCTATTCAGGCATTGTCTCGACTGTTAAACAGTCCAACTTAATTCCTCCGTTGTTTCCTATCAGTGCGTTCGTCGTTTATGCGTTTCTTTTTTATTTTAATATATACAATAACTTCTCATCGTAACGTTTATAATTGTAAGTTACATGTTTTTTATTGTGTTTCGTTATTGCGACATTTTATTAAATTATTGTCATTAAGACAACTAAACCGAAAACGTAAATTGTTATACTTTGTCATTGCGACACCATAACCTTTTCCTAAATCAAACACATAGGTTGTACTTTTGGAGGTAAACTTAACATTTTTAAAGTTGTTAATATATGTGTTATGAATCATTAGAAAAATAATTGTGTAATTATTTATAATATCTTATATGTGACTTTTACTTTTGTTTAGAATCCTTAGTAATAGCAAAACAAAAGGCAAAAAGAGCTATGTATATTTCTGATCTTGATGAAGAGGATGATGTTAAATCTAAAATAAAAAAACTTAAATCTTCAATTGATTGTTCTGTTTTTCAGGAAAATATAATAACAAGTAATAAACTAATATTATTTATTAATATAATAATATATATCTACTGTATGATGTATCATATATTTAATTTGTATAATGTTACTTATATACTACCTATTGAAATAGCTAGTGTTCTAATATATATATATATGTTACCGTCGATGTCAGAAATCAGCCATTATCAGTAATGACTAGTCAATATTAAGGGCGGGTTGCATAAAGAACAGTCTGTACATTTGTTACCGGTCCTGTAATTTACCGACTCTGTAAGGTTTTTAATGATTGTGTAAAGTAAACTATTCTCGGGTTGCATAAAGAAATAGTAAATTATTAATAACCGTGGTTACCAAATAAATTAAACGATATTTTTTTGATAAAACGAAACCAAACAATTCTTATCATAATTGATAAAAGTAAATACAAATTATTTTAATTAATTAATATTTATTTTTCGAATTCGAATGTTAATATTGTTATATTTATTCTAAAATTGGAAGTATTGTTATTTTATAGCCGTCTACTGTCGACAATTTTAAAATGTCGAAAGTTTTTGAGAGTACGCTGTTAAAAAAAAATTCAAGAAATAAAAATTTTGATGAAAGAGAAAAAATATGCTCATTGAACTTATTAATCCCTACAAACATATCATTGAAAACATAAAGGTATGTATAACAAATTTAGTTAACAAAACAACAAAATGTTATTAGTGTAGGTACTTATAATATTGATGTATTAATTTGTTTTAGACTGATGCTTCTAGCATTAAACATAAAAGCAAAATATGGGAAGATATTTGATGCGTACCTGGAGGTGGAATGGGACGGCGGGATGTTGAGAGGTAGCAAAATAAGTTAGACACAAGGTGTAAGTTTAATAAAAACGGTATGAGCCGGTTTATTGTGTATTTTAACAGTAAGTTAACAAATTCTGAACACAATGGTGAAAAACACTAGGAGAGATCACTGTTGTCCAGAGAACAAAGGACTCACAGTACAGTTGAACAAATAAAACCCGAGGGTATTGGTTCGCGTACGGCGTATGGTGAAAAACTAACTCCGATCGTCGGACCGGTTCGCGGTATCGGCGGTCAAGACGTTCCGACGCCGTTGATCGTGCGTCGGCGTCGTCCGTCGTCGCTGGCGGTTGGATAGAGAAGTCGTTCCGCGGTTTTCCGCGTAAAGGCCGTTTGAATTCAAACGGAATCTTACGCGGGACCGCGTCATATTGTTATCAAATACAATGATCAGCAAACAACTGGTATTAGAACTGCTAAACAGCTAAAAACCTTATATGACATGGCCAAAAGGCAAGCAAAAAAATCAGTTGGTGATGATAAAGTAAGTTAAAATTTATAGGTAAATACTAAGAACATGTTGCAATTATGTGTGAATTAGCCTGTGTTATTGTTGTTGTCAAGTACAATGATACATCATACATAGTTATGATAAAACTATAATATAATTTACTGTTTAATGAAATAAAAAATATAAGAAAACATTGTATTTAAAATAGGTGTTAATGTATAAAATCATTAAACTATTTACGGATGAGGAACAATCTTTGGTTCTGGACTTGGTCCAATCTCAACGTTCATCTATTGTAAGTTTTTTGTATTCTTGTAAATTATATAGGCACAAGATAAAAAAACAATGTAAGTTCATATATCTGATTTTTTTATTATTATTAACATAGCTTAGTGGCCATCTATTTGAAAAGGATAAAGCATGGTCAAATGTTCTTGAAACATTTAATTTGCATCAAACATCAGGTGTAAAAACAGTAGATGAAATCAAATATTTATTTGAATATTTAAGTAAAACCGCTAAAAGTGAAAATAAAAATAATAAAGTAAGTCCCATTATTACTTAATTTATCCTATCTCCCTCAAAATAACAATTGGTGGTTGACACTCAGTAAAAGTTTTGATTTTAAATATTTGAAATGAAATGTGTTCTAGCATGATTTTCAATTACATGCCATTAATTACAAATTTAATATTTCTGACAACCCATATTACTGTTATGTGAACTCTATGTTTCTATGTCGTAGAAGTGACTGATCTAGATTTAATGTGTATTCTAATTATGTTATTATTTGTATTACAGGTTGAAAGATTTAAAACTGGGGGAGGACAATATAAAAAAAGTGTGAACCAATTAAGCGAGCAAGTAAATGTAGTAATTGAAAATCGAATTACACCGTTAGTAAATGAATTTGATGATGATTATGGCTATGCTGGTAACCTATCAACCAATATTAGTGAATAATAAATATATTATATGTTATATTTATATTACTGTATTAAAGTAATTTTATCATTTACAAAAAATCTAAAATTAAAGGATTTTAATAATTCATAGAATCAAAAAATATGTATACCTACTATCTATTGTATTAATTTCAAAATATTTTAGTAATTTATATGAGTTTTTTACATTTAAGATCCAATAAACGCTGATAGATGTGTTCAAAATGTACAAGATGATGTGGAAATTATTGAATTTGAAGATTGAGTAGAAGAAATTGATATCACAGTAGATGATTTAACTCATAATTCCCATAAAAAAGTGGATTGGGGTATATAAATTTTATTTTTTATGTTTAACTATTGGGCTTTACCTATGTAAAGGTCTTATAAATGTATAAATGTATTAACTTATCTATAATTTTTTAAGGTATATTTAATATAGAACGTGAAACATCTACATTCAATAACAGTTACCAGTCACCAGAAATAAATTTGTCTAGTAATTTAAAAACAAAAAAAGATTCTGCGGTTAAACGAAGTTCATCACAAAAATCTATCTGTGATGGTCTACAAGAGTTGGCAAAAAAAAAAAATTAACAAAGCATGTACACAACAAAAATTTTCATCAGATATCCAAGACATAAAAATTAAAAAAGCAATGATAGAATTAGAAACGGCAGAAACTACACTGCAAATAGTTAAGACTGAACTCGCTACAAAAAATTAGAATTGGATTCAAAAACAAAACAAATTAAATTGCAAGAAGATATTTTAAATTTACAAAAACAAAAGCTATTGGAAAATTAGCTTTTAATGAGTTTGTTGTTATTATTTAACCTAAAGAAATTATATTTATAATACTCTAGAATATAATACTGTATTAATAATTATTTATACTAAAAAGAATTATGTTTTTGTTATAATATTATTATCAATATTATTTTGTTATTATTCGTACTAAAATACATAGGTACATAATTTACCTATGTTGTATATCAATTATATATTATTTAATAAAGGAAATTTTTTTAGTTCTTAGTTATTTTTTTGTGATATTGTAACCATGGTGACCTTATATAATATAATTATCGCCGCACTCAGCTTTAATAATAATAATATTAAGGTGCCTTTACGGCAGGAAGGCAGGCACCCAAAAGTGCTGCACTGCCAACCACAAATATAATAATAATAATAAAAAAAAAAATGTAGTTAAAGTTGGTGGTAATTGGTTTATAGAAATTCAAAATAGAAAATATTCAACAATATAATATATATATTATAAAAATAATAACACTTTTAGTCCTCACACAATGGCTCAGGTTTTATGAGAATAAACAAATTTAATAATAAAGAAAATAATATGTGGCCATGTGTATAATAATAATATGCAAAATAATATATATGTAATAATAATAATTTAGATAATAATAATCCATGAATGTGTAAATAATAATGAATATAATAATACTGTCTATGGACCCGTCGGTCCTATAGTGCGGTCCACGAAAAGTAGGCCGCGATCATCACGCGCCTACCGGCCGATTTACGGTACGGGTTTCCAAACGTTTTCCCGCCTAATATATTTTCAAATCATCTAATGTAAGTACAATATAATTTAAAAAAAAAATATCATATTAAAGTAAACATTAGACTATATTATTCCATATTTTTTTTTTACACTTTTTATAATAAAATAATAATAATAATACTCCCAAACGGAGAACCCCTGGTTTCACTAAAAACGGCCAGTAGGCGCGTGACGATCGCGACCCACTTTTCGTGGACCGCATTATAGTAATAGGAAACACAAATATTTGGTCGACCAATACTCACATGTGGCTATGTCAGGTAATGCGCGCACCGGTTACATAATAATAAATTAATACAATGAAAAATAACAGCCGCGTGCGTGATTATCTAGCCACAGCCACCAACGATGAACTCAAACAAGATGAATACACTGAATGCAGCCGGGACAGGATCTTTAGCAAACGCTACTGTCCCCACGTGCCACGAGGTACACCAAAACACGTTGAATCACTACACAAATCGCTGGTAATTTTGACCACCCTAAAACTGGGGAAAACAAATTAGCGATGGCAATACAATTGCAAATGAACGATAATTACCAGACGATTAATCACAAATTCAACAACAACGTGGTTTGGGACGACTGCAAACAACACATGAAAACTAATGAATACTGAAACACACACGATGCTGAAGAAAAAAGAGTGATTTTGAATTCACAACTGACATGCAAAAGAAAACTAGATGAATGGGCTTTCAGTGTCACCACACTAAACAATGAAAACTGGAAAGACTGAGAACTTTGTGACACTGAAAGCGTTACTAGAAAACAAGTAACTTTGAAGTTTGAACATTAACGAATCTTTGAAAACATGAACTGATAATGATTCCACAGCTGGCCGGTCGCACACGAATGCTTGATAAGCATCGCCGACGAAGGCTGCAACTGTGGAACGCACCGTTACGTGCACATGAAAATGATAACATAAAAACAAATGAAATGAAATGAAACATGCAAAATTGAATACCAACAATAATAATGAGTCTTGTTGCATAGACACATCATTGAGAGTGAAATTACAGTTACAAGTTTTCATATTTAATAGGAATTATATATAAAAATAATTGAAAAAAAAATTTAATTAAATACAGTCTCAATTAATGTTTGGCGTACTATATTTCCAGTTTGTTGTACAGGGTAAACTGGAACTTGTCGAAGCAAATTTTCATTTAGGAGAGTATCACCTATAGGTAAGGGATCATTAGCATTAATCAACATATTATGTAACACTGCTGTGGCGATGATTGTGAGCAAAGTAGTTGGTATTTGTGTCTGAATACCAACAGACAGTACTAGGAACCTTCTTTTCCACTCACCAAATGTTCGTTCTATAACATTTCTGGTACCGATATGAGCTTTTTAGAAAATATAAAAAATGTATTGCTTTAACTAGAACAACTAAACAACTAATAATGGTTGTCATTTATGAGACACATTTTGTTTTTTCTAACCTGATAACGTTTTTCTGCTTCGGTAATTGGATTAGCAAGAGGGGTCATCAAATAGTTTCTGCATGCGTAACCTCCATCTCCTAGAAGTAGAGCATCTCCAAGTTCATGATTTTCAAATTGTGCTCTCAATAGTGAATTGTCAAATATGGTAGAATCATGAACCGTGTTGCAAGACTTCTGGTTTCCCGACATAAGAAGATACGTGAAGCTACACATCTGGGCATGTTTTGAGTGTTTATTAACGTGCGTGCTCAGAGGTAAACACCCAGGTCTGTTACACCCAATACCTATTGGGAAAAGACCGTTTGGACTGTTCATGTGGACCATGTTGGACCTTTCATAACGGCTCCGGGTGACTCAAGTACATTTTGGTCTTGGACAACATGACCAAATATGTAACGTTGTATGCAGTACCTAACACCAGATCTGAACCGCTTATAAAATGTGTGCGGCAGTTTGTGAAGGAGTATGGGTTACCCGGACAGCTGATCACCGACCGTGGGACATGTTATATTTCTGGTGCGTTTGAGGACTATTGTACGGCCTAGGGAATTAAGTTGATATGGACGTCGTCTCGACATCCTCAAGCCAATGGTCAGGTGGAGAGAACACATAGTGTGGTGATGGCTATACTAATGACGGCGGAAGGAGCTGGCTGTGAGTGGGCCAAGATGTTGCCAGAAGTTCAACGTATACTCAACAACAGCGAGACCAAGGTGACTGGTACGACCCCATTTGAAATACTCCATGGGTATCGTCCTAGGTTTGAGTAAGGAGCTCTGCTTGTCCTGTCTGCTACGAAAGATGATTGGTCACCGCCCGAAGAATTTCAGGCCCGAGTACGTGAAAATATGGAGTTAGAAAACAAGAGAAGGAAGACGGCTTACGATATGCACCGTCATGACAACATACACTACACGGTAGGAGAGATTGTTGTAATGAGGAGGGCATCCAATTGCACTGGGGAGTCGACCAAGATACAAGACAAGTATCGGGGTCCGTTGGTGGTGACGGAAGTGCTGTCGTCAGATGTCTACAGAGTGACCGAGCTGAACACTACTAAAGGAAGTCGGTTTGCGACAACAGCTCACGTTTCCCAACTGAAGTCTTGGAAGTTACCAGCTGATGATGAAGTGGAAGGAGATCAGGGTGAGCCAGAGACGGAGTTGCCGTCTGATCATGAAGAGGAAGGAGAACTAGGTGACCTTAGAAGTGAATTGACTAACGTTGAGGAACTACTTCCACCGGATTCCCGAATGTCTGTCGCACCAGGTGCTTCTAATCCTGATGATAGGCGTTCCCAGCGTGTGGTACGTAAACCTGCCTGGATGAGGGATTATACATGGTAAGACTGAAATTATTCCCTAACTGTGACTATTGTAAATTTTGTTCCTGACTATAATTTAATTATTACTATTGAAAAATTATGTTCCTGACCATGTTCAGAATTACTACTGTTGATATTTATATTTTTTTTTTATTATATATATATATATAAATTATGTTGTGTTATGCTGACGAGTTAGTCATTTGTTACTACTATTGAACTTTTTATATAATGTATTGTATTAAGCCTATGAGTTAATTGTCTATTTAACTGTTAATTCGTTTTATTTCTTTTTATATATTTTGTTAGTATGTCTTGATGTTACCGTTGTTTTGTTAGAATTCAACAAAGAATGTACTGTTTTATGATATAATAATTTTTTTTTTTATATGTAATTGCTGTATAATTATTAACTGGTAAGAAAATTATGAAATTTTAAGAGTTGAGTATGAGTTATGACATCTGTCGAGCACGACAGAACGCCAGGATCGTCGCTTGTAAACTCCTCTAGATGGCGGGTCGGTCTTGCTGACGCGGGACCGTCCCCTGTCATTGGAGCGGGAGGACTGGCCGGGTGGCGCTGACGCGGTGTAGAAGTAGTTATGTCGTCGTCGTCGTTTCTAACGTACGTTTGACGCTTTTTCGTGGTTGTTGTTTTATATTATATTGTATGACTAAAGGATATGTTATTGTTTTTATATATTTACGCATTGGACTGAATAAACGAGTATGATATAATCAAACTACGTTAGTGTTTCTTTTTTTTTTAAATTGGAGAAGTTAACACAAATGTCTTAATAGTTAATATACGTTAAAGTTTATGTAGGTTTTATCATTAATAAGCGTTTTACCATAAAATAGTACGAGTTATGCATTTTATCGATTCTTAAATTTTAATACGAAATTGAAAATTTAATATGAAATACTATCATTATGAAACGTTCTAAATTAAGTGGAGACAAATATAGGAAATTGGCCAAGGAAAAATTGGAAAAACAAAGATTGGCTTTAGAAAATGTCCCGAAAATTAATACATTATTTAATAAGGAAGTAATTACGTCAGTAAGTGTAAGTCCAAAAATATCTTCTAGTGTCATAGATTTGGGGGATATTAAAACAGTACAGAATGTAAATGAAAAAAATAATACTTATTTTAATGACAGTACAGAGATAGAGTTACAAAATAAAACTAAAACAAGTATTTTTAGTAAAGATCTTTCTCAATGAATACGAACAGCCGACTTTATTCACTTTGTGGCATCACATGGTGTTGATCAAAATATGAACTCAGACTTTTCAAACTCCAAACGGATATACTCTGACCAAAGTAGATATTTAACTAAATCTATGTTCTATAGGATATTATCAAACAATGAAAAAATTCTTAGAACGTGGTTAGTTTACCCAGAAATTAAAGGGACTGTATTTTGCGCACCGTGTTGGTTATTTCGTGACGACTCTGATTTGGCTACTACAGGTTTTAATGTCTGGAAAAACGTTTGTTCGAGGTTAAAATAACATGAAAATTCTATAAATCATAAAAACTGTTTGATTCAAATACAAGACATCAATCAAACTAAGGAAAGAGTAGATTCAAGATTAATGAATCAAATTGATGGGGAAAAAAACTATCGGAAAAATATTTTATTTCGAATTGTTACCGTAGTTAAATCACTTGCCTTACGGTGACTCCCTTTTCAGGGTGACAACGAGTTAATTGGTTCTTCGAAAAATGGAAATTTTCTTATGTCAATAGAATTAATATCTGAATTCGATCCATTTTTGGCCCAACATATTAATAAATACGGTAATGCTGGTCGAGGATCAACATCATATTTATCATCAACTGTTTTTGAAGAAGTAATTTCTATAATGGCGGAAAAAGTAAACAAATATTCTGTTGATGAAATTAAACGTAGAAAATACTTTTCCATTATAGTTGATTCAACTCCTGACATTACACACATTGATCAGCTTTCCTTTATTGTGAGATATGTAAATGACCAAGGTCTACCAGTTGAACGATTTCTTGAATTTATACCAAAAGCGGGTCATAAGTCTGCAGAGTTATTTGATGTAGTCAATGATCTCATAAAACGTTACGGTTTGGATTGGTCCAACTGTAGGGGACAATCATATGACAACGCTAATAATATGTCCGGCAGTTATTCAGATCTCCAAGCACGAGTTAAAGAAATAAATAATTTAATATATTTTGTTCCATGTGCGGCACATTCGCTAAATTTAGTTGGAACGCACGCTGTAGATGGTTCAAAAGAAGCAGTTAAATATTTTGGATTAATGCAACATTATTTGTTTACGTTCTTTACTATTTCAACTCATCGTTGGGAAATACTCAGTAATAATTTGAAACCGGGAACTCATACGTTGAAACATCCATCATTTACAAGATGGTCATCAAGAGATGCAGCTTGTTTGAGTATAAATGAAAATTGGTCTGAAATTATCAATGCCTTAACATATATAATGAATGCTACTACAGAAAATAATATGACTCGAAACGATTCACAACGACTATTAAATAAACTCCAATCATTAGAGACTTGCTTTATGTCTATATTATGGGGTTTTCTATTGAACAGATTAAATGTAGTTAGTGAGAAGTTACAAAAAGTTGAAATAGATTGTGGTCTAGTGGTTGAGCTTTACGATTCTTTAATTCAACTTATTACAAATACTCGTGAAAATGTTGATGAATTTGAAAAAAAAGCAATTGAAAAATCTGTTACAAAAGAATATAAAGATTTAAAAACTCGTAAAAAAATTAAATCAATTTTTATGATGAAACTCGACATAATGATTTGATTACTTCTGGAAGAGAAAAATTTTAAATTGATACCTTTTTAGTAATTTTAGATCATTTATTGAATGAACTTAACAAGAGAAGAGCTGCGTATCAAATTTTTTTTTTTCCATTTGCTTTTATTGTCATGCTTGAACGTCTATCACATGATGATATTGTTAAAGGAGCTACACAACTTAATGAAATATACCATGATGATATGGATTTAAATGAATTAATCAATGAATGTTTACATTTAAAAGCACACATAATACAACTGGCTGACGATAAGCAAAACAATGTTCCCAAACTTCTTCAAATTTTACATGAAAAAAACTTAATTTCAATATATCCCAACATCGAAATAGCACTCAGAATATATACATCTACTGCGGTGACTAACTGTTCAGCTGAATATTCTTTTTCTTGCTTGAAAAGAATAAAAAATTATCTCCGATCAACGATGTCACAAGATCGATTAAATGCACTTGCTATACTAAGTATTGAACATGAATTAACTAATCAGTTATCATATGACGACATCATAGAAGACTTTGCGAAAAAAAAATCAAGACGTAAGACTATAATCTGAAGAATATGAAAAATAATTATTTGTTCGCATTTTTTTTTTTTTTTGTAATATGCTTAAAGAGTTTTCATTCATTAATAAATAATAATATTATTGATTTTATGTTTTTATTTTATTAATGATCATTTTTTATATGGAGTGTGGAGAGTTTTTACGTATCACTTACAGAAGTAAAATATCAATACCTATGAAAGTTAGGCGGTAAATTTATTTCAGCCTATGGGTGGCAAAAACCTTAATCCGGCCCGCGTATTTACGTTCTGTACATGAATCTAGCACTCGGTGCCAAATCAGGTTACGTATTGGTTAATCTTACAGCACCTAAATAGTAATGCACCTATGACAATTATAAGAGGTACTTATTTGAGATAAGTACGAACTCAGTGTATAAAATATATAAATGTATAAAATTCCCAATTGATTTTTGCTATCGCTCTATCGCTTCGCATTATCAAACGTAATTATTATTACATTACCTACAATCTACAACATAATATTATACCCCAGCCACAGGTCGAAAGTTATAAATGTGATGACAAGTTATAACAAATTAATGGTTAAATACATAGGTACATAAATTGAACTATTTAATAATAAATGAGGTAAAAATGTAATATAATATAATGTGTACAAGTGTGTAAAATGTGTGACGTTTTAATAAATATTAAATGACGTAAGAAATGTATATGAATATAATTCTTCTTTAGCTATAATAATATACAAAATTAAAAATAATATATTAATAATACTTAATTACAAACACTAACATTATTTTATTATTATGTTGATGTACTACGCCGTCATACACAAATTATATTTACAAATACTTATTTTATAATATTTATATGACGATTGCGTAAAGTGCCAAACTCGTGTATAAACGGAACAGAAATTACAACTCCGGATTATACGTTGA